GTGCTGAGAGCAGCGAGGAGGCAGCAAGACGACCCCCCCGCCCCACGGGGTTGATGTTCTCCCACCGCGCTGCTCCCAGGCACCGGCCAGCACCATCCAGGCGTGCGCCCAGGCTCGGGGACTGCTCTGCTCCCCGTGCTGCAGCGGGCCAAAGCCACGGTTGCCTGCAGATGCCGTAAGCATGGAGAACGCCAGCGGGGTGCAGCAGGAACCCCAGAGAGCCCCGAGAACCCCACGGAGCAGTCAGCACGTGGACCCTGCCGTGGCTGTGAGAGCATCCAGCATCCAGCCCCCCTGCTCCCTCCGAATCGGCCTCTCCCACCGCAGCACGGGCAGGCGGTTCCCGGCCGGAGGGACGGCGCAGGCAGCCCTGCCGGCATCTCCCTGTGGGGAGCGACGCCGTCTCTTTACGAGCCCCAGCGTGTCCATCTTTCCCCTGGGCCCATCAGCTCTGCTCGGGCAGCTCCATGGCCCCGGGTGGGACCTGGCACCTGCCCCTGCACCCCAACTTAGAGCTGGTGAGGGAGGCCAGGGGGGCTGGGGCCCTACTGGAGGCAACCAGCCCGGTCGCCCTCACTCCCTGAGGTCGCCCTTGTTGTCTCTGCACAGGATCTGTGCCCTGGGACACGCCACAGGACCGTGCTCTCTCCAGGCAGGATAAGAGCACAATAATATTTACCATGACTCTGGCCACGCAGCCCCCCACTGCCAGCCCAGGGGCTGCAGCCTGCCCTCGGCCTCACTTGGAGGCTGCTGCTTCAGCCAGGAAAAACATCTCTGCAAAGCAAATCAACACGACCCGAACTGCGTTGCTGGCTCGACTCTCAAACACAATCCCACGCCGAGGCAGAAATAAAATTAATTTCAAATGGGAAAACAAACTTGGATCGTTTTTCTTCCTCTAAATCACAATGCAGAAAACTGCCCTGCATCACCCCGGCCCGCCGAAGGGCCACAGCAGAGGAGGCAGCGCAGGGTGGAACCCCGCTCGGAGCAGTCCCCTGGCCGGCTGCCGTCATGGCAGGAGCACACCTCGTCGTGTGACACCCGACTGGGCCCTCACCCCGCTGCTGCCCCGCACATGCCCCACAGCCCCCCCAGCCAGGTACCTTTCCGCTGGATCATCTCGGAGCGGATGGAAAGGGCGTCCTCAGAGGTGCTGTCTGTGGCACAGGAGGCCGCCCGGCTCCGGATGGACACACTGTCATCCTCCGAGGATGCGCAGGACTGTGCGGGCAGAGAGCGGGCTCAGGCGGACCCCGGGGTTGCGCGGACGGAGCTACCCCAGCCCCCGCCAGGCCCCTTCTCCACCGCGAACTGACTCCGCAGCCCAGCGCTGCCGAGACAAAAGCTTCTCCGAGGGCCAAAGGCTGAGTCAGCCACGCCGGCATCCAGAGTCCTCCCACCAGGAGCAGGGCTGGGAGCAGCCCCAGGGACCCCGCGTGGCCTCGCAGCCCCCCGGACAGCAGGAGAGCTGAGGTCTGGCCTGCCGAAGGAGCACCCAGGGCAACCGCCGGCCTCGCCGCCGTGCCAAGCTGAAAATGGCCCCATGGCTGCGCCCAGCCCTGCTGTGCCCCAGAGCCCAGCGCTGGAGGGCTGCCACGGCCCGGACAGGGGCGCGGGGCTGAGCTGGGGGGGGACAGGGACACGAAAGCAGCGATGTGGCCGCCCTGGGGACCCGCCCTGGGTATGGCCAGTGACAGGCACCGCTTTCGGTGCCCCCAACCCTCCAAAGCATCTCTTGGCATAGGCGGAGGTCGGGATGAGACACGTCAGTGTGAGGCACCACCCAAGCCCTCCACCACCACCCTGAGCCGGCCCTGCTCCCCCCCAGGGGCTCTGCCCGCCCGGCCTCCCGCTTCCAAGGGGTTAAGGGCGCCCAGAGCCAGCGGGACGCAGCAGCTTGAGCAAACAAGGCCGGTGAGGCACTGGCAGCGGGGTCAGAGCCCGGGGAAGCGGCAAAGCCCAACGTGGCCAAGAGAGTGGGAGTTTCTCCTCGTCAGCAGCCAGGGAGGGGCCTGGCCATGGGGCTGGATATGGCTGATGGTCCCCGTCGTGCCACCCCGTCACCCCACATCGCTTGGGTCTGCCAGGGGACAGCAGTGGGGGCACAGACAGGGTGGGGGTCCCCGAGCAGAGCCCCGCAAGGCAGGGCAGAACGTGCCAAGGCTGAGGGCAGGGACAGCGACTTGTCATGGGGCAAAGGGTAAAACACCGAGGGACACACGGCTGCTTCCTGCTCACAACGCCCCCAGCCACGGTCCCGCAGCCTTGGCTGGTTCCCCTTCTGCCCCCAACCCCCAACCACCACCCAGAGGGGCCACCCTGTGTCCCCTCACCCGCAGAGCACCCCGAGAGCGCTGCGGGGCAGAGCTGGCTCCTCAGCAGAGCTCACCTGGAGGCTGCTGGTGTCCCCGTGGTCCCAGGCACTTTTGGTCTGCTTCTGCTTCTCTGCGGAGGGAAAGCAGGAGGTAAATCCCTCCGGGGGAGCCCCGGGGGGAGCCGCCAGGCAGAGAAACGGCTGCCGAGTCCGGCAGCGCTGCCCGCACACCCCAACCACTGCTGCCAGCCCCAGCACTGGACTCCGGTCAGCCCCATCGCGCCACCCACCCAGCGGGGCCGGCCAGCTGTACCCTCCGACCTGTCCCCAGGGCCACCCCGGGGCTGGGGACACCTACCCTGGTGCTGCAGGGACTTCAGTCCCTGCTGGGCCTGGTTGTGAAGCTCCTCCAGGTGCGGGGGCCGTGTGCTGGGGAAGAAGACGTTGTCGGGACATTCCTCGCCCGCCGTGTACTGCACGCTCAGACGCTTCTCGGCCTCGCCCTTGGCAGCGCCTGCGGAGACAAGAGGGCTCAGCTCGGCTGGGGGCAGTGGGGGGGCACCCAGCCACGTTCCCCCCACCCACGGGATGCGGCCCCAGCGAGCTGGGAGAAGTGCTGGGTGACGACAGCCGGCCCAGGATGACGTTATCCCGCTCATCTCTGAACCGGGCGCCGGAAAAGCTGTGGGAGAAATCATAAACCATGGCTCTGCCCGGCCGGTCGATATGTCGGAGCCAGGCTGGCTCCAGCGCGAAGCCGCGGGGTTTTCTCCCCGCTGGCCGGAGCGGAGCTGGGGCACGGCACCACCCTCCTCCCCAGCACCTTCATTAGGAGCAAACGAGGCAGCGAGTTGAGCAGGGCTGCGGGCAGCTGGGCAGGGAAGGGGCAGCAGGGAGGGATTAAACAAGAACAGAAAGGCGATGACTTTCTCTTTGGAGAGTTACATCATCCCCAGGCCTTGCAAAGCACCCTGAGAGCAGGGACTCAGCCCCTGCCCAGGCAGGCTGGGAACCACACCGATGAGGGAAACTGAGGCACAGACTGGTGCAGAGACCCCAGAGGATCCAAATCCTCCCCTCTGAGCCCCCCACGTGCTGGAGACCCCATATGCCATGTCACGGCCGGCACAGGGACCTCCACTCCCCGTCTCGCAGCCTCCTCCCCACAAACCATCGCCAGCACCCTGGGGTGCCCACAACCACCTCTGGGTGCTTGTCAGGGGCTGTGCCTGGCATCACCCGGCCAGGGCACTGCGGGCACAGCCCTGCCTGCACGTCGCCGCCTGCTGCGAAGCCTCAAACTCTTTCTGTCCAGAAAAAAACAATTTGAGGACGAGGAAGGGAAGGGCGAGCACAGGAAACCGGCGGGGCTGGCGGCAGCACCCCGGGGACACAGGCACCTGCTGCTCAGCATCGCCGATGCCACCCACCCATCCTGTGTCCCCCGTGTCCCTCGTCCCCTCCCGGCCAGGCAGTGAGGCGGCCGCACTCCGGCTCCGGCGCACAAAGGAGCAG